CGCTCGGCCCCGCCGGGACCCGGGCGGAGCGGGGGGGACGCGGGTCCTGGGGTGGGCCGCGGGTCCTGGGACGGGGCCGTGTGTCCCGGGATGGGACGTGTGTCCTGCGGTGGGCTGCCTGTCCTGGGACGGGACCATGTGTCCCGGGATGGAGATGTGTATCCCATGGGTGGGACATGTCCTGAGATGGGCCACGTGTCCCAGGATGCACCGTGTGTCCTGGGACAGGGCCACATATCCCGGGATGAGGACATGTGTCCCGGTACGGGGCCACATGTCCTGGGATGCACCATGTGTCCTGGGACGGGACCATGTGTCCCAGGATGGCGATGTGTATCCCACAGATGGGATGTGTCCTGAGATGGGCTGCATGTCCTGGGACAGGGCCACATGTCCCGGGACGAGGACATGTGTCCTGGGACAGAGCCACATGTCCCAGGATGCACTGTGTGTCATGGGATGGGACCGTGTGTCCCAAAATGGGGACGTGTATCCCAGCATGGGACATGTGTCCTGAGATGGGCTGCACGTCCTAGGACAGGGCCACATGTCCCATCATGGACTGTGCATCCTGAGATGGGACGTGTCCTGGGATGGGACGTGTGTCCCAGGCCAGGCCCTGTTGTGTAGACTGGGACAGAGCTGGTACTGGGGCCGGTGACCCCTGCGCAGCAGGCAGCCTTCCCCTCATGCCGTGTGCCAGCAGCGCCGGCAGCCCCAGTCCCGACTACTGCCTGAGGGTCTGCATGCTGCCCTGGGGCTTTGCCCCCACCGCAGGACTGGGACAGGACGCTGGGCCAGCCATGACCAGCGCAGCTGCCCCCACCTCTCCTGCACCGTCCCTGGGGCAGCCCTGCGGGGACAGCAGTGCCGGGGCCCTGCAGGCGCTACCAGCCCCAGACAGCCCTGACCAGCCTCACCTGGGCCCCCCGTGGGGCTGGGGCTCTATTAAAGCTCAGCCCTGAGCCCTCCCTCCCTTCCCTGCTGTGCTGGGGGAAATGCTGCTCTCCAGCTGTGGCCCTGTCCTGCCCAGCTGTGGACCCACCCAGCTGGACCCCGACCCACCGGCTTCCCAGCTTGACCCCAGACCCGCCTCATCACTGCAGACCTGCCGGATGATCCGGGCCCTTGGTAAGCCCGCCACCGCCTGCCCTGCTCGCTGGCTGACGGGTCTGTTAGTGCGCTCAGCCTCCGGGTCCCTGGCCCTTATGGAGCAGCCGTCCCTCGCAGAGCCCGGCTCGGGGCTCCCTGGGGACCATCTGCCCTTCCCTTCCCGCCACCAGCCCGGCGGCACTGTGCCAGCCATGGCTCTCCGGCAGCAGGAAACTGCCCTGAGCCGCCTGGAGCCTCCGCACACACAAAGCAAGAGGATGCACTGGAACTGTGAGTAGGACCCAAAATCGTGGGGTGTTTAATGTTGTCACAAGCTGTACAGAGAGCGGGGGGCAGCATGCTGCCCCGGGCCCCGCTCTGCTATTGCATCTACAAAAATACGAAGCCTGGCCAGCAGATAATCTAAGTGGAGAGGACGCCGGAGGCCCCCCCCCCGGGGCCGGCGGGCGGGGGCCCAGCCCCTCCTCGGCAGCGTCGGCACCGAGCAGAGGCTGCAGCAGGGGGAACTGCGACGGGGATTTGCAGAGGGGAACTGATACAATCCGCTCCCTTGCAGGAGCGCTTGGGGGAAGTGTCAGCCCCGCAGGTACCCAGTGACGTGCTGCAACATCCGCGCTGTTGTGACGCAGCTCTGCGGAAGGAAAGAGGGGCCCTTAGTGGTTTTATTGCCTTTCCTGCTGGCTGCTGAGCACCCTCTGCCCTTTTTCAGGAGCCAGCAGAGCATGTCACAGTGCGAGCGGGGCAAGGCAGGCACACGGTGCACGTGCCTGCGTTGCCTTGCACCAGGGCACCGGCCACCAAGCCCGTTCAGCCGGTGCCAGCTCACGCCAGCACCACGGACGCCTGTGCCCCAGCAAACCCAGTTCTGAGGCAGTCGCAGGTGGGGATGATCTCCCTGCCCGCCCCAGGTGAGGGGCCACTGCCCAGGGCACAAGTGCAGCAGAGGTTGGAAACGGCTCTGACTCCTCCCGGTGCATCCGATGGGCCTCGAGGAGCTGAGGGTGGGGGTATTCACACACTCGTGCAGCTGCTGGGGGTAGTGGCACGCAGCAGGGATAACAGCTTAATGGCGGGTGGCATGCCCTGGGCGTGGGGGCGGCAGCAGCTCCTCGGACACCCGCCCCAGGGGAGGGGAGGAGGGAGCAGGCGCTCAGGGGTCCCCGCTGTACTTGATGAGGTGGCCACTGAAGGTGATGTAAGTGTCGTACTCATCGCTGAAGACGGCATTCTCGCGCTCGCCCTTGTAGAGCCGCACCCAGACCTCATCCTGCTCCTGCAGCTCCAGCATGACGCTTTGGCTCTGCATGATGCTGCGGTCGCTCACCTGGGCGTAGAGGATGACCACCTCCGCCCCATTGCGCATGATGTGCAGGTACGTCTCCTTCTGGTTCCAGGTGTGCACGTTGAGGCTGAAGTAGTAGATCCCGGGGACGTAGCAGTAGAACTTGCCCGTGAACATGTTGAAGTGGTCGTAGAGGTTGACAAACTCTGTGTCGAAGATGAGGGTCTGGTAGTAGTCGTTGCTGTGCAGGGGTTTCTTGCGGCCCACCGAGAAGGCAGCGTAGTGGCTCTTGCAGCGCTCCCCGGGGGCGCCCACGCTGCCCTTCTGTCCCTTGGGCCCCGCGTGGCCCCTGCTGCCGGCCACCCCCGTCTTGCCGAACTTGCCCTGCATGCCTCGCTCGCCGCGGTCCCCCTTCTCGCCTGGGCAAAGCAAGAGGGACAGTTGTGCTATCAGAGGCGAGTGCCTTCTCTAAACCCGGTGCCCTGGAAGCCCCTTTGCCTGACAGAAAGCGATGGGGGCAGCAGGGACGCCCCCAGCCCCTGCCCCCTCCCTGGGCTCTGATGCTGCCTCCAAAGCTGCTGCCCAGAGGCCACCAGAGCAGGAGCAGCCCCGGCGCGTCCCCTGCCCACCACCCCTCTGCCTGTGCAAGGCGCTGCGCCACAGGCACCAGCCCCAGCTTCTCACTCCCAGTTAGTGCGACACTGGCGCCCCAGAGAGCGGGCGCTGTGAGCCCAGCTTTGTGCTGGCCCTGGGGGGATGCTGGCAGACCGGGTGCCCAGTGGCATGGGGTGCCGGTTCGGGCGGGGGCAGTGCCGCAGCGCGGGGTCTCACCAGCCCTCACCTTTCAGGATGGTCATGTTGATCTGAGGCAGGGGCTGGTACTGGGGGTAGGAGAAGCGCTGGTCGGGCGGCTCACAGCAGCGGACGCAGCGGGGCCGCGGGGAGAGCCCCTCCTGGGCACCACCAGCCTTCTGCTCCCGCGTGGCCCTGGGGAGGGCCGGCCCCCGCCGTGAAACGCCCCGGCCCCGGGGTCCCCTCACCTGCCAGCGTGGTGCGGGGACGGTGCCTCCTCCGGGTCCGTCTGCAGACGCCGGTCGGGGTCGGGGCTGGGGCTGGTCTGGCTCCCCGTGGGGGAGGGCAGCAGCAGGCAGGAAAGCAGCAGGACACCGAGCGCCCGAAGCCCCTCCATGCTGCGGCAGTGCCCTGTGAGATGCCAGGGATGGCTGAGGGGGGCGGCAAGGCCTGGCAGAGCCCGGAGCCGCAGAGATGCTCTGCCGCACTGTGCCAGCCTGGCTGTGCCCTGTGCCGCCCCCTGGACAGGACCTGGAGCATCCCACAGCCCTGGGCAGGGCACAGCTGTGCTTCCAGCCCCAAAAGGCCGCTCTTGCAACAGCCCTTCCCCAGCAGAGCCCGCAGCGTGGGCAGACACATCTCTTGCAGCTGCAGGGACCATCTGTACCTAAATAGCTGCTTTTATCTCGGCCATGTGTCTCAGTGACGCTGCAGTGAACACCTGGGGGGGACCCACGTTTGGGGCAGTGCCGGGGCTCTGCGCTCACCAACAAGCTGGGAGCTGGGGGCACGCAGCCCACAGAGCCCTGGCACGCATGGAAGTGGGGGTCATCCTGGGGAGCCGAGGGTGGAGTGGCGCAGCGGCAGCGGCCGGGCGGCCGGTC